AATTATTAGTATGCAGTTATCTCTAATAATAGGGTATTGCTTGTGCAATATATAATACTAAATCTTATGTGTTTCATATTAATTGTCTCTAATTTTCTCAAGTGGAGCTTTTGGACCTTTCTTTTTTGTTTTGTGGAACAAATTGATTGACATAGTGATTACTTTTCCATCATATCATATTGGGGTCTTCAGTGCTGACAGGCACAATTTTAAACAATAGATGAATAAAGTCTCTATCTAATAATTGATAGTAAAGACAATACGCATCATTTGGTGTGTACTTAAAGTGTCATGATATCTCCTGGAAGAGGAGAGGAAAGTTCTTCTCTAGATCCACATAACTTCATTTAGTTAATGGAATTTGACATGCAGCGATTGCGATTGTACCAAAATGTTGTTTTGTCAAGAGTCTCACCATCATGTTACTATATGTAAGAGCTACTTGGATTAGTTATACTTGAATATTTGGATTCTGTTTAATACCCTAGCGAGGTTAACGTATGAACTGCTTGCTCCTTCTCGGGCCCAAATATTGAAGGTGGGCCTCTTAGAGCACCCACAATGCTTTGAGTCTCTTTTTGCATATGTGGCAAATAAATAGACTTAAGTCTATAATGACATGGACAAACTCAAGCTAAAAAATCTAAAATCTATCCAATGCAAACAAAAAAGTATTAGGTCTAGAATACCTAACAACCACTGTAACAGCCCAGTAACATGACCCGTAGTGCGATATTGTCCGCTCTGGGTACTTTCATCCTTCCCCGCACGGTTTTGCCTTTGGGAGCAAGCTCACCAAAACGCGTCACCTAAGGTAAGGCTTGCCTTAACCCTGTGCACAGCGGTGCGTGGTGATATTGTCCTTGCTGGGTACTTTCATCCTTCCCCGCAGGGTTTTGTTCTGCCTCTGGCCCAGACGCGTCACACTAGTGAAGGTGTCCACAGCCACTTATATGACATGTTTCGTTCTCCTTCACAACCGATGTGGGATATCTGCATCCACCCCCTCACAGGGGCCCAGCGTCCTCGCTGGCACATGGCCTGGGTACTGGCTCTGATACCACTATAACAGCCCAGTAACATGACCCGTAGTGCGATATTGTCCGCTCTGGGTACTTTCATCCTTCCCCGCACGGTTTTGCCTTTGGGAGCAAGCTCACCAAAACGCGTCACACTAGTGAAGGTGTCCACAGCCACTTATATGGCATGCTTCGTTCTCCTTCACAACCGATGTAAATGATTGCATTGTATAGGTTCACACTTGGGTCCAAAATAAATCCAAGAGTGGGCTTGGTCTCTTTTTTTTTATTGCCACATAAGCTAGACTAGGTCCATTTTTAATTGCATTGTGAAACATTTTTTTATAGACTAGGTCTATTTCCTACATGGCATGTGATTTTTTGTTAAGAGACCCAAAGCATTGTAGGTGCTCTTATATGTTTGACTTGGTAGTTTTTGAGCAATCGATTTTTAAGATTTCTTATTTTTCTGATGGCTGCAAGAATGTCATACTGTGATCTCTAGTCCTACAAAAATTAAGAAGTGCAAATCTAGCTTATATAGTTCTAATTCGCTATATTAACTGGAACTTTGTTGGTGAAGCTGTATAGGCTGTAATGAATTTGACATCATAAATTCAACTAAACTAGATGAGGAAATTTTCAACCATTACTCCTCTGTAATGTAAGAAATAGGATTCCATAGATATTCCTTGCCTTGTCCGTATAATTCATGCATTCTGATGACAAGAAATTAATTATTTTGGTTAGCTTATGAATCATGGCATACGAGTAACACGTGAATTCCTACCTTAATTGACAGTTCTTCAACCTTTTTTTTTTTTTTNTTGATCAGGTTATTGCCAAAATCATTTGACGGGAAGGACCAAACCAAGCCTACGCCCATTATTCGGATGAGAGGATTGCCATATTCAGCTGGGAAGGACGATATTATTGATTTCTTTAAAAATTTCACTTTGTCAGATGAGTCAGTTCACATTGTCCTTAATTTTGATGGAAGGCCAAATGGAGAAGCTTTTGTGGAGTTTGCTAATGTGGATGATGCAAAAGAGGCCTTGGCTAAGGATAGGATGACTCTCGGGAATCGTTATGTAGAGCTGTTTCAGTCATCACTTGAGGAGTTGAATGAAGCTTTGTCAAGGGGAAGGTGAACAAATTTTGGTTGTGATTGTCTAGTTAGTTTCTTGAAACATTTTATTGCTGTCAGAAATACAGAGAATATTTGTGCTATATTGCTAGATCAATTATGTCCTTCCCCCTGTTACACAATTTTATCTGTTTCGACTGGATGTTTGGTTGAGTTTGTTGGATACTGTTATTCTGAATAGACACTTAGCTTGAAAAAAATGTGTGAAAGGAATTTTTGGGTTTTTGTAATGATGTTTTCAAATGATGCTCGAGTTCCATTTTTTTTTTCAAAAAAAAAAAAAAGTCTTTCCACGAATTAGGGTGTGTTTGATAAGTATCATAAGATAGCCTATAAGTTATTTGGTTAGCTTATAAGTCTTTTTTATACAAATAAGTTTTGTCTGGTACGAGACAAACTGTTTACAAAAAGCTCGAGCTTATTTAATAAGCTTTTTTGGATAGCTCTTTAAATAATTTTGTTGAAATTTTTATTTCAGCTTGTTTATTATTTAATTTTATCAAACACTTTTATCATATCAGTTAACTTTTCAACCATAAGCCATAAACTATCAGCTATAAGTTCAAAATTCACTTATAAGCTATCAACTAATTTATTAACTAATCTTACCAGCTGGTTTTACAAAATATACTTTTTAAACGATTCACTCCTTCATCCATCTATTTTGGGATAATCTTGAATGTATTGCAACTGGTTAGCCACTCTTGAGCACTATGGATATTTGGTTTTTTTTTTTTTTCGTNTTTTTTCGTACACAATAGGTAGACTCATCTTAACGTACCCACATGAGTAGGTGAGCAATTCCAATAGAACGAATGGGATAACTATAGTCTATACAAAGAGGAAAAAGAAAAAGAATGGAAAATCTATGTCAATGCTTAACGCAAGGATAGATAAACATAAAAAAGCAACACCTTCTCCTTTATATCTCATCTTATAGTTTATATCTCATTTTATAGTTTCAACTCAAACAGGAGGGGAAAAAAGAGAGAAAAGAAAAGAGTTAGTTTAAAATGTAAAAACAATCTTGATATTTGCAACAGTAGAAGAATGTAGACCCAAGACAACAGAAAACCACTGCTAACATTATTAGAAGCACAAAAAAAAACATGGAAACAAAAGAAAAGAAAAAATAAAGGTATTTGGAGCAATCGAGTGAGAAACTTCAGCCTCCGGCTCCCGTTTTTTCACCTTCTGTATATTCAGACCCGGGCCCACCATCCGTGACGTTCTGCTTGTCCATCATGCCTGACAGGGCAAGCTTAGGGGACCATTCAAGAACATCATCAATTATATTGGACATCCTCTTCTGGTACCTGTCAACAAGAAATTTTGCTATTTCAGCTAAAAATGCACCTTAGATGAACAGCTCTCCATCTTATACTTTAACTTTTCATCAGAGGAGAACACCGAAAATAAATAAATGAAAAAACACAAAAACACAGTGAGAGAGTTCGAAAACTACCTCTCTAATCACAAAAGAATCAATTAAATATGGAACATAGCCAATCCTCAAGCCTTTTTTTTTTTTTAATAATATTTTTCAGACCTCTCTCTAGGTCATTTGTAATTACTACAGACCTCAAGTAGTGTATGTAATATACCTGGCTCTAGCAGCTTCATCAGGAGCATGGTGCCTCAAAAGTAAAATGACGAGAACGGCCACCAACGCGTAAAACAAACGGGCCGTCCACTTGGGCCGCTCACCGTCATCCTTCTGAGGCCAAAATTGGAATAATTCCTTCAGTGTGGCTTCCTCTGCAAGTATGTTTGGGAAGAGCCATACACGTTTCCCAAAAACGATCCACAAAGCTCCAAACACAAGGCCCCTCACTGAAATGCAAATATCAACCACCAAAATTAGCCCAAGAATGATGACAGTTATCCTACTCTTGCACTCTTCTAAATGAGAAGCAGATAATATTTTTTGTCAGAGTTAACACAACTTTTAATGCAAAAATGAAAATTTAAAATGTTTCGAAATGATACGACGCGTTCTAGAGACAGCATGTGAGTCATAAATCATAAGCTCTAGAATATTTTCTGAGGATTCACGTGCAGATGGATTCTTAAAATAAGCTATATAATGAGCATTGATTAGGATAAAACAAACTCACGTAGGAGGAGGCAGATTATGAGAAGCAGTACGCCCGCGCAGAAGTAGAGTATAAGAAGCTTCACTTGGTGGGGATACACAGGAAACAAGCAGATGGCCAGAGTCAAAACAGGCCAGAAAAACGAGAGTAGAGTCTGCCATAGTGGCCTTCGGTTCACAAAAGTCCAAGCGAAAAAAGCATCATTATCAGAGAACACTTGATCCTGCATTGTAAAAACCCATAGAAATAATTATTATATATGAACTGAGGTGCAGTCACCTATCCTCATTCATAAAAAATTAAGTTTTCATTTAAAATCAAAATTAAAATACTTGCACTTTATCTTGCCTCTTTACGCTCCAACCAAACTCAAGAACCAGCAGAATGTGGATCTCAAAAGAAAAAAAAAACAAAGAAAGAAAATCACTTTTAGAATACATATGCATGCGCACGAGCACACACAGACACTTAATAAAGGTATAGACTCTCAGTCTCAGACAATGCTGAAATCCCATATAAGGGCATATCAGATTACCGTAAAGTCAATCTTGGTAGCCAAGATAAAGGAAGACCCTTTTATCCATGGCATGATCATTTGAAGATAAGTGACTTAACCTTTAAATTGTCAACCAAATTATTGCACAAAACCCAGAAAAAAAAATAAAAAAATCTATCATCACATTGCAGAGGAAATAAAAAATAACTTACTGCAAATATCTCCAAATGCGCAGGCCATGTAGACAACTTTCTCTTTCCAGGCCGAACAGTTTTGACAACACGGTCACATCGCACTATAAGACTCTTTCTCAGCAAAATATTGGCAATATCTTCAGTTTCTAAGTTCTTATCTTGTTCAAGTAAGTCCTTGAGTTCCGGATGATTTTTCAAAAAACTAACAAGATCTTTTCCTCTAAAATATTCGACTCGAGTCTCCTGTAAGACGGCCCACCTAGACTCCAGATCCTTATGATTCCTAACTCTCTCGGCAAATATCTGGAAAACATCCTCTCTAACAGCCTGCTTCTGAAATTCAGATATTTACAAGTCAGGGAAGAGTGAATATAATCAATTTCACAACTCACAAATAATATCACAGAGCAATTAGAAAACTGATATGAGTTCTGTTCTTAGGATAAAAGAAGTCATCCTAATCCATACTGAGGGTGCTATTAGGTTCTGTTTCCAGATCAAATAAAAAATGCAATATTAGATGTGATCCTGTCAACGATTACAAGTAGGATATATAGTGCTGGTTACTGAATCAACCCAGAACAATATGCTTGAAAAATAATTAACAACCGATTTGCCAATTAAAACAAACAACAGAAACCAGAAACAGAATGACATAGGAATCCTTATCCAGAATATAGGATATTTCTGTATTAAATATACATGCCACTTTCAGAGGACCGTCTATTATGTGCCCAAGTGCTTGTGGAAAATTCCACCCAAATCAATAACGAAATAGAAAATGTTCATGCATGAAGAAACAACAAAACTATTGCCAATAGGGAATAGGAGAATATGCAGATATTATGCTTCCTCCAGGGAGAAACAAATTTGATATGCCTAGGAGCTTGCGCCCAAAAAAAAAAAAGTGAAAGGCTTTTTGTTTCAAATAAAATGCACGACACATCAAAATATATAACAACACATTATCAAGATGTTTTTCAGAAGTCGCAAAGCATGTCGAACTAAAATTTCTACAACAATTGAAAAGTGGAATCAAGCTTACTATCATAATATTCCAAAGATACCATAAAATTGTAGAAACGGACTTCAATAAATGATTAGACAAGATGACTAATAGGAAAATGAACTCATTTTTTCTTCTGACTCACAAAGCATTATTAGCTCTTATATTATACATAATTCTATTCTACATATGCTATACGCCTACAGAAAAAACTAAAAGTGAACCCCCGGTGAGAAGACATGCTCACCCACCAAAAAAAATAAAAAAATACTAACATAAAAAATGAAAAAAACATAGAGAAGTTCACAATGTTTCCTATGGCCTAAGGTCAAAATTCATGCCTAAGCTACAGAAATGTATTTGAATAAGGTTTCTGAGAATTCAAATAATTCACATAGAGTACTTGTTTTTCTGCCAAACAAATCTTCAAATCGCGATACTTGACGACATGAATCGCCACTAACTTCATCTGCAAAATCGTATTCCCTAACTTTGCTAGTATTGCCAAACTTTCCTCATATAATTTCGGCGTCCAAACAAAAACAACAAATTTCATCAAATAAATAATATTATTTTGTAGGTGAAATAAGTGATCACAGATCCTTTTGGACAACGTCCGAGCATTAGCAGACACAAAATCCCCTAAACAAGATCCCAACACCAAAACGCGTGATCGTATGTTCATAAACACGAAGGTACAGAAAATATGCACTAACCCTAGGAGCGGTGTAGGAGACGGAGTCGGAGCGGCGGCCCTTCTTTTTGTCGCTGGCAGCTCCACCGCCGCCCCCTGTTTTCTTCATTTCCAAACTCTCGCTATCGCGGTTGTTTGGAGTTTTTTTTTTACTGAGTTTTTTTTTTTTTTCTTTTTTTTTGTCTTCTTTTTACAGTGACTTTTCTTCTACATTTATGACTGACTGTTATTTTCTGTAACGAAGGAAAATAGGATTAAATTATAATTTACCCAATTCTTAAAGGGTAAAATAAAATTTGCAATCTTCACTTTTTCCATGGTTTAGAAAACCCAATCGGACTGGCCGGTACGGTTCGCTGGATGAAAACTGGCCGGTACGGTTCGCTGGATGAAAAAGTTGCCAGCGAATAGGTCAAAAACTGGTCAACGACAGGTCGAGCCGATCAAACCAGGCCAAATATCGGTCGGGCTCGGAGCAGTTTGAACCAGTCTAATTTTTTTTAAAAATGAATTATAATTATTTAAAAATATTTTTAATATAAATAAAAAATAAATATTTAAATATAATGGATATATATACGTAATCATTACTAAGTTTAAGTATTTGAATGTTTTAAATTAATTTAATATTTAATCAACAACATTTTATAAATTTTATTATATAAAATATTATATATGTTTAAAATTAGTAATAAATTAAATATAGGTCCAACTGGTTCAACCACTGGCCGGACCAGTGAACCATTGAACCAGTTAAGATAACTCGATATAAGAGTAAATTCGATTGTCCTTACTTCTGGTAGGTTTGCTCATCATTCACTACCTTGACCTCATCGCTTATCTTTTTTTCTTTTTTCTTTTTTTATTTGTGAATATATTCGATCACTTGTGGAGTTTTTTTTTTTCAAACTTGAATTTCAAATGCATGTCACATGTCTAACCTTGTCAACTCCAAACTAGGCATGGTATCACCTATGGTTGCAAACGAACTGAGCGGCTAGCGAGCCGCACGCGAGCGCTCGAGTTAAAGCTCCAGTCGAGCTCGAGTTTGGCCGAACTCGAGTTGAGCTCGAGCGGCTCGAGCACGAACTCGAGTCAAGCTCGAGCCCCTATTGTGCATTGTAGAAGAGTCCATATTTTGCATTGTCGAGCGGCTCGTTGAACGACTCAAGACATATGTTGAATTATGAAAATAAATGTTCTCGCAACTTCCTTTCAAACAGAACCTCGAGCCCTTATATATATGTATATTACAATAGTATAACATATTTTTTTAATGGTAATTTTATTTTCCACTTAAAAATTTTTGAGTCGAACTCAAGCCGAGCTCGAGCATTTTAATTTTGAGTCGATCTTGAGCTGAGCTCGAGCGATTATACTTTTTTATCGAGTAGAGCTCAAGCCTTCGAGCAGCTAAAAAAAAAAAAACAAACCAATCCTATTCGATAAAACCAATGCTCGACTCGACTCGGCTCATTTGCAGTCCTAGTCTCACCGAATTCCACATACTCATCCAAGATTTTCACCAAATTCTGCTTCAAAATATGCCCAACAATTAATGAAAATATGAACTCCCTTTTGACTAGGCATTTGTGAAGAAAATACACGACCCAATGGGGTGGAGTTGGAGGTGGGCAACTTTCCAACTTTATATGTCCCTTGAAATCACTCTCTGCAATTTTTTTGCTTGTGAGTTGTCAACATTGATCACACTCAATCCTAAAATCTTGCTTATATTCAGTCTTGGCTAAAAAAAATTCCAGGTTCGAACTTCAGAATGCAAGAGTTACTCCGAGTCTTACTGAGTATGATCAGTCAGAAGAGTCCGTGACAGGAGCACGCCTCGCAAAAAATATGTAACATAATCCAAACACGAACCTTCCACGAAATGTAAAATATGAAATCTCATTTGTAAAGAAAAAAAAAAAAGATATGATTGAACAAAAAATCAAACACAAGACGTTTGGTCTCAAAACACAATTCTTGGTTTAGCAACATGTGTGTATGAGACTCTATCTGGTAATGGATAAAATTGAAATATACTAAGCCATTGTATAATGTGGTTAATTTCCCAACTATAGGTCTGCTGTCTCCATAATGTTCCACGAGGATTTTTCGCAAATTTTCAAACGGCAATGTCAGGAAGCTTAACAAAACGTCTGCAAAGTCTGCTAAAATGAGGACTTACTACTCATAGAAGTTTAGTTTTATACTGACAACCTTTTTGTATCTGCATGAAATTAAGTTTAACTCTGGAGTATGTAGTATCCTTTATGAAGGCCATCTATAAGGCTAAAACAAAAGTCTTTCCCACAAGATTCCAAGCTAGAATCTGTCTTTATATTTTACCCCAACCTAACAAGCATTGAGATCAGAGTCCCACTGACAACATTTTCTAAAAATCGAACTTTTTTCCGAACATGAAATTGCAATATCAATACATTATAGCACCCAACATCTCGTCAGTTTTCTTGCTTTGGCTGTTTGATCAACAAGTGATTTAGACCACAGGACAAAGCATGCTTCGAAACAAGAGATGCCTTCAATATGCGGAAAGCCTGCATCAGGAATTGATGTCATTAGTTAGAAAAAAGTAAAAACATAACTTTCCTCATTCACATATAGAATTATAATATTATGTAACTTTGCCAATCCAACATGCACCACTCGTTTAGTTACATCACAAAAAGGAATCTTTAACCTGCCGAGACTGGAAAGATATGATGTAATACTCGAAGCTGATGTCACGCCCAAGTCATCACTCACCATATATATTCTTGGTCCCTTAAATAGTGAATCGAACTTGAAGTCAGTAACCTTGACACATGAACCTCCCATAAAAGGTGAATCAGACATAAAATCGCCATTTCTAGTGCCTTTGCCTTGATAAAATAAAATATATCAAGACTAGATAAGAAATATTGATAGGAAAAATATAATGTAAAATGTGCCAACACTAAACCTCATCATATCCAATAATCACATCCTTCAAATCCCAATCAATGTCTGCTTTAATCCCAAGATTGCTAACAATTTGCAAAACGGACGATGAAGAGTTTGGCATTATCATCATATCGTCAAATATTACGAAGGTCGATCCACTTACGACAAAACCTCCATTACCATGCTCGGGAGGCATTTTCTTAACACTCCTCAACGGCACTTCTCTTGTCAATGCTTTCCCACAATCACACCTTGCAATACCCCAGTACAAACTCATATTCTCCTTTTTCGAACAAACGCAAGATAAATCGAGGCAGCAAAAATATCTCGTGACTCGATAATCATTGATATTGAGTTTCAGGTTACGACACTTTGCGGCAGGCGGACTCACTGAGTCGAGCAGCATCAGCTTACTTCCCTCTGCCTCAAAATTAGAAATGTCCAAATCGACCAAACCGTTATACAAAGTGGTTAGGCTCCCGATTTTCGAGCATTTGTCCCCATCATGGCTACCCAAGATTTTCACAATTTTTCCTAAGAGAAGTGTTAGAAAGCTCAGCAAAACATCTACAAACTGGTTGTCGGCCTCTGCAAAGAGGACTTTGGTTTTCTGTTTGTTTGTGGCAACTTTTAAAGAAAATGTGGCGCCTTTATTGGACATTGTGTTGGGTATGTGAGATTATGATTTCACAAAAAAGAAGATTGTTGCCATTTTATAATGGCTGAAAGCTTAAACCGATATTTTGTTTGTCTTTGTCCCTTGATGTTCTGAGTACATGCATGGACCCTTTGTTTTCATCTATCAGAGGCTAATAATAATGCTACGATTTTTACCGAGGTGAAATTGAGTTGAGGTGCTCATATTTCCGAGGTTCAACTCAGTTAATCTATAGTATGATTAATGACAGTACGTTTTGATTAACTTTACTGGGGAATTTCCCTGTTAGAAAATTTTTGAGTAAATTATTTGCTAGTTTTGTGTGCATTCTTTGAATAATCAGGTCTGATTCAGTATTGTTCATGGATAAATGATAAGACCTTTTAAAAAACTAATAAACTTCAAATGCGATGCACGTGGTGGTGAATGTTTTTTGTCGATTAAGTTTAGTAAAATAAATTTATTAATTTATTAAATATATTATTGCAAGTACAAAATAAAATGTAGAACAAATGAGCTCCTAATATTTTTTTTTCAAAAATAATATAATGATGTCCTAATATACAAATAGTGAAATAACATATTATAACCCCCACAAAATATATCTTAATAAAAAAAATAATAGATAACTGAATAAGGACATAATGTATATTATAGATGCATTAGTTATTTTATTTATTTATGTTAGAAGATTAAAAAATGATTTTCTTTCATTTTGGTTTTGACGTTATCATAAGAAACATTCATACTCGAGGCTCGCCACACAGGGTGGGAATGAAGTTAATCTCCAAATAAAAGCCGAGTTTCCAAAATCTTAGTTACATGTACTTCTCCGGAGGCACTAAATTATTTATCATCACATTACATGAAAATACATACTCTAAATTAATTGTACATATGTTCGAGCACAATACACCAATGATATTGTAAATATTCCTATAAAAAAGCGACAACTTCGTTCAATTATTCAAAAATATTTTGATCAGACTTCGACATTCTCTTCTCAATATTATTTAATTGGAAGGTAGACGAACTATATAATCTATTGTTTGCAAATTATTGACAATCTTGGTTGTTGTAATGATTTTTAGAGTTGTTAATCATAATATCTGCCACATATTCGTTCGGAATTGTAATATTTATGTGTCTAATAACTTTTTTAATGTTTTTATTGTTCAATTTTTGCATCATGCATAATCTTCAAAAATTCAAGACAAAGACCCTTTTTTTATTATTCAACACTGACAAAAGACAACTAAACAATGAGACAATATTGAGAAACATATCATTTGTTAAAATATTTGAGTGGAGAAGAATTATAATTCTATTATATTATGATACACTTAGTCATATGTACCTTTATTACTACAAAGTTATTAATAAAACTTGCAGTTATGTATTATAGAATTTTTAAACTTTTAATTATTTAAAAAATTAATAATATAATATCATTATTTGTGAAAACTAATTTCTTACTGAGTCCATATATTTAAACGCTAGCAGCAAAAAGTAGTATTTTAAAAGACTTTTGTTTCTAGATATTGGTATTCATATTTCTCCAAGAAAATTCAATTTTTTTTTTCCCATAGCATTACTATTGTTTTATTCGTTTCTTATTTTACTCACAAATAATATTTTATTTGTTAAAAGAATTATAAAAAAGTTTATATGTATTGCGTCATTTTTTTTTGTATGTGTTTTATATAATGACGTTGTCAAAATATCTTATTTATTAGGCTACAATTAATATTAATCACATATGATAAATACTATTTAATATTACTTACTTATTTTATAATAATAATATATTTGATAAAAAAAATGTACCTTTATACTTTTTATAAGATTAATAAGTATAGGATTTTATTTTTTGATAAAAATATTAAGTAACTAACTCATTTTCATATTCATTAGAAATATATGTTACAACCATTATGGTGTTTCCTTTCAAGCTGTAATCCCCTCTATATATAATTCCCGAATGTGATGAGCCTAAGTGTCAGCCTCACAAGCTTCGAAATCGTATTTGTCATAATTCTATGCTTTGTATTGATACATAATTAGGCTCGAGTGTCATATCAAATGTCAATTAGGCATGGTCATTTCCATAATACATTAAATATTTTCTTTTTTTGAAACAATCATTATTTATTTAATTCCACACTTTTCTTCCATAATTACCATAATACTTTTTATTTTATTTTATTTTTCTATTACATATCTTCACTTAAATCAATCATATTAATTTATTTTTCAATCTTTCTATCCAATATTCACATATTACTCATTTTGAAGATGAAGTAATATGATATTATTCCTTTAAAATATCTACTAAAAGTAATTAATTAATTATTCAAATTCTAAAATTATGTATAAAGTTAATAAAATGTAGTTTGACATCCAAAATCTAAAATTGTATACGTTGTTTATCTATTATGATTAAAAAAATATAGTTTAAAATTTAATTAAAACAAAAATTATTTTAGTTTTTTTTTTTTTGAAAAAAAGCTTTAATATTTTTTATATATTCTTCTTAATTCAATACCCCTGTAATACAAGAGTATTGTACTAGTTGAATAATAGTTTAACATACAACTCACCTATTTCTTCTTTTAAATTGCATAGTTATTGTTTATATTAGTTGTAAGTTTACACCCATTTAATACATTTTTCTTAGTATCAATGTTTCAAATTTGTGTAGAAAAATATACCACACTCCACAAGTTTATCTTTTGTTATTTTATACTTAATAAAATTGATTTAACATTGTGTTTATAATTTATTGTATAAGATGCGTTCAGGTTTATATATATATATAGGGATTGGTTCAAATGCATCCGCTTAATTAAAGTGAAGACGTGAGACTCATTCCTAGCCACAAGATTTATATCTTGATTTAAATAATAATTCTTTATTTTTATTATTTAATTATTTAAATATTATTATGACCGTTGACTCCGGCGTTGACCGTTGACTTCCGGCGTTGACCGTTGACTCTGGCGTTGACCGTTGATCATTTGTCTTTTGTTGTTATGTTATTTCTTTCTTGCTAGGTTAGTTGTATTTTGTTGCTAGGTTAGTTGTTTGTTGTTGCTAGGTTAGTTATTTGTAGCTGCTAGGTTAGTTGGGTTTTGTTGCTAGGTTAGTTGTCTTAAGTTACTAGGTTATTTTTTTCTTGCTGCTAGGTTATTTGTCTTTTGTTGCTAGGTTAGTTCTTTCTTGCTGCTAGGTTAGTTATCTTTAGCTGCTAGGTTAGTTGTGTTTTGTTGCTAGGTTAGTTAATTGTAGCTGCTAGGTTAGTTGAGTTTTGTTGCTAGGTTAGTTGTCTTAAGTTACTAGGTTATTTCTTTCTTGTTGTTAGGTTAGTTGTCTTTTGTTGCTAGGTTAGTTATCTGTAGCTGCTAGGCTAAAACACTTCTCCCTTTAGTGTTTTGTTGCTAGGTTAGTTGTCTTTTGTTGCTAGGTTAGTTCTTTCGTGCTGCTAGGTTAGTTGTCTGATGCTGCTAGGTTTTTTTTGTTTTTTAGACAAACAACGCCCCAGAAGGGCGGGGGATTGGGCTGGATCCCCAACCTGTACATAGATCAAGACCCGAAAACTGGGGCCCAAAGTGTCAACAAACTACAATGTACAAAGTCTCTGAAGCAAAACAAAACAAAAACAACAAAAGAAAACCAAAAGGAAAAATAATACAAAGTCTGTCCACGGGATAATAGGTGCCCGGAAGAAGGATCCGATATAATGAGAGCAAAAACCTAATCTACTAAAATCGGAACGATGGATATCCAATCTGGTCCATCCGAACAAGCGTGCGTAGGCTGAGTGGAGCAGTGTCAGTCTGAAATGTATGTGTGTCTGGTATGGTGGCGCCAAGGCTGGCAAGATAGTCGGCAGGTCTGTTCCCCTCACGGAAAATGTGCGTGATCCTGTGATGGACAGACCAGAGTAGGGCTCTAATACGCATAAGCGGGTGTTGAATCTGCCACGAGCCCTGGTGGCCCGAGGTCAAAAGAGTGGCGACAGCCGCAGCGTCTAGCTCGATCCAAATGTGGCTAGAGAGGTGGACAACAATCTGAAGGCCGATCTGTAATGCCTGAATCTCTGCATCGTAGCTCGAGGAGGCCTGAAGGGGCGCGTGGAAGGCGGTGATGAGGGCACCGTTGTGGTCCCGGATCAAGCGTCCTCCTCCGACAATTCCAGTGTGACGATCAAAGGAGCCATCAGTGTTCAGCTTGACCCACGGAGAGTCAGGTCGAAGCCAAACAACAGCTCTGGCCCGAGAAGGCCGAACAGACGGTGGGGGAGCCACCATGTAGCGGTGTGGCGGCGTGCAACCTGTCCAGTCTCGGGCCGTGAGCCTGCCCAATGCTATGAGGAGTGAGATGTGTCTCTCTACCTGCAAAACAATGTGAGAAAGCAAAAAAGTAATATCTCTATGCTTCGCACTATTCCTCTTTGTCCAGGTGAACCAAAGGATCAGACAAGGAATGAGGAAGCCCACGTGTCTAAAGTGTGTACTCTGTGAGAAAAAACTCAGGAGCTCAAGTCTGATGCTGCTAGGTTAGTTGTCTTTTGTTGCTAGGTTATTTCTTTCTTGCTGCTAGGTTAGTTGTCTTTTGTTGCTAAATTATTTTTTTCTTGCTGCTAAGTTAGTTGTCTTTTGTTGCTAGGTTATTTCGTTATTGTTGCTAAGTTAGTTGTCTTTTGTTGCTAGGTTAGTTGTCTGTTGTTGCTATGTTAGTTGTGTTTTGTTGCTAAGTTAAAACATTAGCCTTAATAATTGCGAATGCAAGGTTTTTTTTTTTTTTTAAAAACAAACAACGCCCCGGAAGGGCGGGGGATTGGGCTGGATCCCCTACCTGTGCATAGATCAGGGCCCCAAAAACGGGAGCCCAAAATGTCAGCGAGTCAGATACAGAGGTCTACATAGTCTGAAAATTAGAAACAAAAACAAAAGAAAACAAGAAAGAAAAACCGAAAAGACTACAAATAAAATCGATCATCG